CCAACACCACATTTGCAAAATCGTTCCCCGCTGAAAGAGCGAGCCGTGTCCCAAGGCTGGTGTAAGCCTGCATTGTCCCCTGGTCTCCCCGGAGCAGCAGAACTGATTTGCTCCAGCTGAGGATCTGGCCCAGCGTACGCAGAATATTCCACATCGTCTCTCCGATGCTTTTTACGTGCTGGGGCTTGGTAAAAGTACAAACCTTTCCCTGACAGGAGGAGCAAAAAGCAGATTTCTTTCACCGAGGATTTTTTTCCCCCTGTATGTTTTCTTCTAAAGCAACCCAAAGGCAAGTCTATAGCGAATGCTATCTTGGGCTATAAAATTTCCTATTATCCACTTATGCTTTCTTTGCAATGGGATTTAAGGATGCCTCTTCCTTGAGACGAGGGATATGTCATCATTTTGTTGAACTAACAGGCCTGACAGCCTTGTCTCTCTGAGTTAGAGACACCAGCGCTCCCTGCTCACGCTGCTGGTAAAACGAAGGTGAAAAAGCTGGGAGAGCAAAAAAATGAAGGGGGAAATCTAACTATAACTAAATTCCTTCCTAATTCATTCCCATTATTTATCGTGCTCCAAAAATAAAGTCTTTATATTAAAACAGACCCTTAAATTACAGTCTCTCTTACTTTCACTACATTTTGAAATAACTTATTTGAATCCTTGGATTATCTGTTTTAACAAATATCGTCTTCTGTATTCATCATTTCTCCTGTCTTTTTGATCTTTTTTTTCTACTTATCATGTTCTTTATTTGAAACAGATTTTTAACAGATAATCTTGCTCGTTATAACAATATCTTGCTTGCATTTCATTCAAATAATTCTTAAAAACAGCTTAAAAAGCCGTTTGGAATAACATCAAGCTCTCCATCAATCAAATGAAAAAATTCCGCTGGCGGTTGTATAAACATCAGATCAACTCTGATGTCTTCAAGGATTTCAGAGTGAACCATAAAAAACTCCATTAACTTCTGACAAAGAATGCAAATTAATCACAACATGGGGTGAAATGAAATTAAAGGCTCTTTTCTAATCAATGACAAGGCGGGATGAAATATTTCTTCCTCTCCGCGTCCAGGCTGCCGGGATGCTCGCGCTTCTCCCCGCGTCCCCCCCAAACGCGAGGTGTGAGCACCGCTGCACCCCGGGTACCTGCTTAGCCCTCCCCAGCCCTCCAGCGATCTGCTTACAAGTCGCCCGGCTTCACAAAACACACTAATCATCCGAATCTCAGGTGCATCCAATTTGTTATTCACACTCTCCCGGTGCCAGCGAAAGAGCCTGGCGGAGACAGATGCACCGGGAACCTTAAATGACAGTTTTGGCCTCCGGAAGTGCGATGGCTACAGCAAAATCTAGTACAGCCTCCAGGTGAAATGTCTGGAGCTCCATATGGAGCAGGGAAAATTAACAACAAGATGAAAATCGCTGTAGCAGCGGGGAGTCTGAATTTCGAAAAAAAAAAAAAAAAAAAAAAAAAAAAAAAAAAAAGGGAAAAAAATTTAAAGATGAGGAAAGAGAAGTAATAAATTAATGGGGTGTGAAAACATTCAAAGCTTTACAATACCAGGGGCAGTATTTGCTCAGATTTGGGGGGGAGCAGTGGGATGGGTGGGTGTGGAATGGGGGCCAGGATTTATTTTTTATTATTTTTTTTTTTTAAACTTCAGGTCATTTTCATGTAATTTATTAAGCGAGGCCTGGAATCGTAGCCAAAGGAAGGAAAACATTTCTCTAAATGCAAAAGTATCTTAAATACAGTCGTCGCGACCCGCACTCTCCTATAGCTGATTAAACCCTCGGCAGCTGAGTACTGCCGATTTCTTTGGAATATTTCCCTAATGGATGCGGCGTCCTTTTAACATCCTGCTTTGTATAAAGTTTGACTACAAGCCGAGAATATTTAGTGGGCAATTCTTTTCATTTCTCCTAAATTGCATTATCATTAAACAAGTCATTGCCCCCATCGTGTTTTTACACAATATACTGAATTTGAATCTACGCGATTAACTGTACGTCTCGCAGTTTGTTCAGGCACTGCACAGCTTTGGGGTTCCAACTTAAAATTTAATTAAATGTACCGTGAGGTGCCATGGCCTTTTGGGTCTTTCTTTTAATTTTTTTATTTTTTTTTTTTTTACAGTTCTTTCTGCACAGACATGTAAAATCAAAATGAAATAAATTAATTTTAAAAGAAATTTGAAACTTATTTTCCTTATGTTCTGATACCTAAAAAGTTGGGCGGACTCTGGACTAGCAGCTGGGTTGGGTGAAAGGGGTTTCCTCTCTTTTTTAAGTGTTTACGTAGGAAAGAACTTTATTCAAAAAAGGGGGGTGTGTGTGTAAGCGCGTGCACCGTTCCCCCTACTTTTAACAGAGTTATGCAAACACCAGGAAAACGACCAACAAAACAACGAAACCCGGGTCAGTTTTAGAATTTTACCACATTTTAAGGGTTAGAGTTTCCTGGGCAAAGTTTTTATAGTGGAAAAGTCTGTTCTGCTCCTTACTATTCATTTCCTTGTTCAGATCGCTACCGTGGGCAGGCAGCCGCACACTATGACGTCAGCACATCAAGGCCAAAAAAAAAAAAATCACCGTAACTCTAAACACACCCATAAGCAACTTCACTTGCACGAGCAGTTGGTCGCATGCCTAAGTGCTTTCAAAATGACTTTATTGTGAGCATAAGATTAAATAACGATAGTGTGCCGCGTAAGTGTTAGCAAAAGAAATACTTATAAAAGATGTGGAAAACGAGAAGTGGTGAGTTTATCATTAAAATATTCCACTGAAGGCCAAGGGAAAAAAAAAACCAACAACACCCTTTAGTCTTACTGGCATATTGCAGGAGTCCTGAATTTCCACACTGCAATGACTCCCCCTATAAATCTTAGTCATCTAAACTGAATTTACACACGCCATTTGTCTGTGTCTTAAAAAGAGAGAAAAAGGAGAAGAAAATTTTTTTTTTCAGCTACAGCTGGAGACAAACATCCATTTGCAGGGAATTTCAGGTGTTCTCAAACATGCATCCATACCTTCTATTTTCAGAGAGAAGCAACTTCAAGCTATTTCGGGGCAAATTCTGCAAACACACATACGATTAGCTTCATTCATCTGAATAAGCCCGCTGAAGTGAGGAGGGTTTACTCAGGTGAGCAACTGCAGAATCAGGCCCTTACGTAGGGAGATGAATAGATATCCAGACATTAAAAAAATCCCACTAATTATCCCCCTAATCAGAGTGGGTTTCTAAGGGTTCTTGTGACCAGCTACGTAAGTACATGTCTAAGACACGTATTCTTCACATAAAAATCCTTACGAAAAGCAGTTGCTTGAAAAGCTTAATAGCTACATTTTAAAGTTTCACCTCCTCAAATGTTTTACATTAAAAAATATACACAATTTCATGGACTACTGACTTGCCAAATATTCTTTTGCAAACCCGATCCGTTTTTTAATTAGAATAGCAAAAAGGATCTTAAACTAGCAATCATGTTTTGCTCCCAATTCAGAAAACAAATTTTTGTCTAGGATCATACATAATGTACGCGCTCTAACTTCTTTCCCCAAGCTCCAACACTTCGGTGAACAGAGGGTTATCTTAAATTGCATCCCACGTCACTTTGATTTAGTGCTGTAACACACCATCCACAATGAGCATCAAGACACTCCACGAGCACAAGTGCGCACGCCAACGTGTGGAGGACACTTCAACACAAGAGCTGCTTTTTCAATCCTCTCTTCAAAGGAGAGGGTACATTTTAAAATACGGATAAAATATGCAAAGTACGTTCTGCTGACCAGCCACAGCTCTTTCGCTCACTAAACATTTTCCAGAGGAGATGAGAAAGTGAAAAAATCAGTGTATTTCTACACATGCAAACCCTTGGCAAGTCCATAAAAGTGCCAGGAGAATTTCCTTAAAACAGCATATAAAAATGGCAGAGAGAATGAGTCCCAGCCTATTATTCAATAACCATGTTTGTGAGGCATCTGCATAATCTAACCATGCATAAATTAGTATGTGTATTACAACAGTTATTTGCATAATAATAGCAAGTTAATAGATGCTTAAAGAGCACAGACCAACACCACCTTTAAATCAGACATGCCTCCAGGCACTCTGATCTGTACAGACCAAGATGCAGAAAACAGCGTTCATAAAACATATGAAAACATAAAAACCACATTCAAATAATTCATTTTAGTCCCTGGACACTTC